GATGTTAGTTCATTGAATGATGAAAATAATCATATTATTTGATTCCAGTTATTAGACATTCATTCATTGACTAAAAAATGTGATTTTGTTAACTGTTCATTATATCTCTTTTTTTTATCAAGTTGAAGATAAACATCCTTGAAAAGCTTTTGTGATTAAATTCTTATCAATAAATTTTTGTCTATGTTTTTAATTAACTTTTAATCTTCTCTAGGAATAACCACCTATTACAATATATTCAATATATTGTAAGAATTACTTCAAAGAAAATTTCTTGATAAACAATATGTCACATATATTTAAAATTATTGAATATGAAAGAGACACCAATGAAAAAAAGAATTTATCTAACTTGAGTATATATTTTGGGAAACATTAGTCGACATTCAATATTGACCCTTAGGACTTTTTGGTCAATTGATGGGTTGTTCGTGATATAATTCAATATAAAGTATGAAATAATGAATTTTCTCTTCGTAATAACCAAGATGAGTGAATAGAAAAAAATTAGATTCTGTGCTTATTATATCTGTTCATATATAAGAAATTTTCAAGATACATTTCAATTAATTTTGTGAAAGGATTTCTTAATTCAAGTAAATATTAAATAAGGTCGAAAATATGGCTTCCTTTCAAATAGTAGTTTTGATCACTTTTGTACACTTTTTACATTTGTGCTCTACAAATACTCGAATATGACGTTTGTATGAATTTCTAAGTTCTTTATTCAAAGATTTGCCTTTTCTTACAAAATCAATGTTATAGATACAATAAAAAGAGAAAGGCATATGTGAAATGTTCCTATGACAGAAGTAGTAAAGCCACAAATACACAGTGTTCCAATCATTGCGTGTATAGTAAAAATTTTGTAAGTTCGTCTTTTGTCTGATCCATTCATGTGTTATAAGTTGCTCATTACTAATCTTGCGGGGTTGCCTAATGCACATTTGTCTTAATGTCATGTTCATTCTATTGAGAAATTGTGCTAGATCAGCAACAGATGAGGAATTAATGTCAAGTCATTCGATACGAGTAAATGAATGACAAAATACATCGACATCATTTGAAGATAATACATTAAACTCATACTCGAACTCATTTTCAATCATCAGATGAACAATGAGGCCACTGGTGAAGAAAAAGACAGCTGAGACTAATATTAGGCACTTTGAGCCGACATAAACGAGGTAAACTGCGTAAAAATTGAATATGTTCATAAGGCGAATTGCTATTCCATTTGGGATCAATGGTACATTTCGTAATTTGCGATGCATCAAGACCGATCATGAGATCTTTGAGAGTCATGGGAAGTGTAACAGTAACTTCTGACAAGTACAATTCTTTGGTACCAGTGTGCCGATGGAACAGTTGACATCTCAAAAATTTAGCATTAACTATTAAGCAATGAGGATTAGAATATGATTCTCGTTCGGATGTAGTTGAATCTGATACTATCATTCGAATCCTTTCAGGTGTTGGACAGATCATACAAGAAGATGAGCTCGAAGAGTGCATCGAACATTCATCAATGCTAAAGCTTCGATCGTACGTAACAAACCATTTTTTCTCTTCGAGCCAAAATTTCGTGCGAAATGAGTCCACATTGAATGCGTGTTGTTCAAAGGCATTAGAGTCGAATTCAAGTTCAAATTCAAAATGTTCGGTCTGTTGTAACAATTGTGCCCAAGCATAACCGTCAGCCATATTACTATTCACATAGCTAGCAGTAATTGCGAAATAGGTGAGCCGTGGAAATGACGAGAGTAAAAAATTGTCATTTGTATCCAAGTTATAGTCCATATTTTGTTCTGTGATCGTTGCAAATACAATAGACGAGGATGACTTCTACCTAATTTCAAATCGGGAATCACGATTCTGGCTTCACGAGTACAAAGCATAGATGCAACAGTTAGGAGACTGTATAAATCGATTGTGACATATTCTAGATGGAAATGTTGAACAAAAGATGATATAGCTGGATTTGGAGATCGCATTTTCACATCACCATCCCAAAAGCCAGACATTTTAGCAGAGAGACGTTAGAGTAATGGCGAAAGAAAGCGTAGTTCGCTAAGAGTGGCAGATGTCACCGATAAACATGACAATATATCAGAA